ATTTGTATACTGATTTATTCGCAGAACCAAAGTTTCAGAATTACTTACCGTATTTGCGGTGTTTACGGTTGTTGGTCAGCCTAAAATAAACACAGGCTATGCTGAAATGTTGAGAATAATTGTTTCTCCTTGTAATCCTATGCAATTTACCCGAAACAAAACGAAAAATTGCGAAAAAATCTGTCAAACTTGTGAAAAATTGCATTTCCTCCTTTTCGGGTTGCCTACCTACCCCCACACAGGGACCCCCGTAGGTCCAAATACTGCATCAAGGGTCAAAAATATCGAAAATAGAAGTTGTGTAACCAAAGCCGCAGTCTTTGAACAGCTCAAACGGCAGAATAGCACTAAGGGGTCAAAATGACCCCTCCGGTAGATCTAGGTATACGAAAATCCCGGTAGTTCTAGTGTTAACTAAGCTATAGTCATTATTTTGTTAGGGTTGATCACACATTTGTTTTCGTAGAGTATTTTTTTTCTATAACGTACTGCGTTACTCCATCGGGTGTGACAATTCTTGCTTCAATAATTTGTCTCACCAGTATATTTTTGTTGTTGCAGAGTCCATACAAGAAGTTTGCTCATAAGAATGCCACCCACACGGGATTTTGTTCAATGAGGCAATTAGAACTAAACAAGGCATATCAAATGTACGACTTGATTCACACCACGAAGTATGGTTCGGGCGAGTTGGCTCATCTAAGGACGAGCAAGAATGTCTGCTGGAAGGTCCAGTTGCCAACCAAATATTTGAAAGAGCTGGACCCTGAAGATATCGAACACTTCAAGGCAGACATCAAGAAGAAAGCTTATCCCTTTGTTGCTTTTCGCGAAGTAATGAATGATGGCAGTTTTAGAATGGATATGCTTGAAGACAGTAAGTTACTTTCTTTATTTATTCTTGCAGCTTCTTTATCTGTATATCTTAATTTGTTGTGTGATGCAATGTTTTGCGTTTACAGGTCCTGACATGAGAATCAAATATAAAAATTGGGAGGACATCCCAGAAGTTGTTTTTGAAGATAGCCTGAACAGCAGCAATGAGGGACCTGCTAACAAGAGCAAGGATGAAGAAAACGGCGATGCATCATCCACTGACAAACCTCTAAATCAATCTGGTTCCTCTAAAGATACTTCCAATCAATCTTAGGTATACATTTGTGAAGAAATTATGATTATTTTGTTCCGTTTATTTTTTTTTTATGACTGATTTCTTTGTTGAAGATATTTCGACGGCTCCCTCCTAAAGAATACGTTACGGTACGTCTCTAAAAGATACGTTATGTTCTGTACGTCTCTAAAAGATACTACTAGTTTTGAGGTTATCAGGAGGTCAGTTTTGGCAGGCGATCCACATCTGTTAGAAGTTCAAACCAATTGTTCCAATGGCTGAAATATGCAGATGGGGACTTGAACTGTCATCTGAAACCATTGATGCACCACATTTCAACCCCGTTTTGATCCTAAACGGCTGCCGAAAATGTGCTGCAAGAAAGCTCAAAACAGATAGTATCTTTTAGACGCGTACTCCACATAACGTATCTTTTAGAGACGTATCGTACATAACGTATTCTTTAGGAGGGAGCCGTCGATTTGTGGAGTAATAATGGATCCTATTTACGACCCAAGTATTTTTTTATTCTATTTTAAGTGTTAACATCAACGAATCATGTATATGAAGGGTTGAATGTTGCAGCTATTCTTGTAATGACCCAAAGATTATATCTGGTTCTCTTTTTGACTGAATCCCAGTTGCAATATTACTGAAAATGACTAGTTCATAACTTGATGGAAACCATAATTTTGTTTGTATCTTAATATTTTGTATTGTTCTCTTGTACAATTGTATCATATGTTACGTATTAATGTATATCTAGGGTTGAATGTTTCAACTTGAATGTTGCTGCTGTCACGGGCCCGTGCCAAAACGCCGGTGCGCCGTATGGGTAGGCAACCCACCAGCCACCTTTCCCGCCAGTGAGGGCGGTCAGACAGCAAGCGGCCAGCGAAGCGACAGGCAGACGGACCGCCGACACTCTCCGGTTGTGCTGCCTCGTCAGTCACCGCTGAGACGCCAGACAGGTCGGGTCGGACGCGCGCAGCCAAGTCGCGTTAACCCCGTGAAAACGTTGTAGAGTCGGGTCGAATTTTCACCTACTCGTCCATCATGTGTCCTCCTGTCGCTCTCAAGTACTCGCTCAATACAAGCCCGCAAGGTATGCATCTCGGCAAGTTTACTATTGAAAAGTATGTTGATTGGCGCGTCAAAAATATTCACCCCATGATTTTCCAACAGGGCTTTGAGTTACGGGGCTGTACTGTCCCTAGTCATGGGCTAAATCCCCTTTGCCTTGCCGCCACCGATGCTACCTGCTTGCCGCTGATCATGATGCTGGAGGCCAAGCCATGCTTGGGCCCCCCACACCATGGCCGTTTTGCCCACGGCCGCTCCGTCCCGACGCTTCACCCCCCTTCCCCTCCTCGTCAAGTCAACGTGGAAGATCCAAAATGGAGTGACTAGTGTTGTGGAGTAGTTTAGTGCTTTGCACTATTTAATGAGACTCAGTTGAGCCATTTTTGTAATTCAATCTCGCCATGTCTTGTGGGCATGTTATTTTGTGAAGTGTGGTGAAATGTGAAGTGTGAGTGTTCCGCAGCCGGGGAGGCGCCCCTCGCGCTGCTCAAAGTGTGTGTCATGGTATTTCTACCTACCCGTGGTATTTCTATCTATCCATGGGAAATGTACCTACCTCTGAAAAAGATACCCCCCCCCCCGCACTTCAACTCTGTCTTCCCCCTGTTTTCA